AGGAGCTGGCTTCCGCCAATCAGATGCACTGTACCAGCAAAAACGTGGAAAACCTGTCAAGTGTTGATCCAGGAGAAGGGCAATGTGACTGTTTGGCGGTGGTTGTGGTGGAATCTCACCGAGACATGGGGGCTGTGGTAAGTACTAGGTTTTAATTAAAGCAGTCTTACGGTAGGACCGGTGGTGCTTCCGACATCCCACCCTGAGCCTCTGGGCCTCTTCCACGTGCTGTTTGGAGAGATTTTGTTGTTTGTAGTAAAGTCGAACCTGATGTTTGCTACAAGGTGGCGCTGTGGCTTGTCATCAGAAGACCCTGCCTGGCACTCTGTCCATTCCGAATCTGCTTATTGGAGGAAAGAGACAAGGGGAAGTCAGCCTCCTAATAACCATTCGGGGAAGCCTGGGCTTTTTGCCAGGCAAAATTTTGGCCCCATTGCTTCTACCATCGATGTTACTCTTTGGATCATTATCTTAATCGGCTAAAGATGCTAAAGTTCCTAGCCAGCTCACCTGAAAACAGGGAGATAATGAAGACTCCACGTGAGCCACTGGAAGCAAAGGGAAAGGCAGAGAAATCAGGGGCACCAGAAGATGCCAGGCGTCATGACTGGCCTTTAAAGTGGATGACTCTCAAAAGAAGGACGTGGATTGTGCAGACAACTCTGGCGCTTGGGAGAGGTCCCCTTACCCAGAGAACTGCCATCCTCCGGAGGTCCTGAGTATACAGTACTGACCTCACAAGGCTTCCTTCCCTCACAGATTCAGGTCTGTGCACTGGTATTTTTAAGCTACTGGGTTTGTGTACATTCATGATACAGCAATAGAAAACTAAGAAGCACCACACCCATGGCAGTCAGTGGCAATACACGTAAAAAAAAAAAAAAAAAAAAAAAAAAACCTAGAGAAAGCAGCATGGTGGTGGCCCCTGTAATTCTGACACTTGAGAGTCTAAGTGTCAAGTCTAAGTGAGAAGAACAGAAGATCAAGGCTAACCTGGGCTAAACAGGGAGAGCCCATCTTGAAAGGGGGGTCAGAAAGATGGTTTATTTTGGCTCATGATTTCAGAGTTCTGTGTTCATAGTCATTCAGCAAGTTGCTATGTGTGAACATGCTGGCCCAGACCTCCTGGTGGCAGGGGAAGTTGCCAAGGGCTGTTTATTTCCTGAAGAACAGGAAACAGAGCAGAGGGAAAGGTGGAGTCTCAATATCCCCTTCGTGGTCACACCTGCCACTACCTAGCTTTCTGTTTCTAGCTCCACTTCCAGTACCCCACACTGGCTCCTCTAAGATCCAAACCATAACGATCCCATTTTATCCAACTGAGAGGTTCTGAGCTCAGGTGGTCACTGATGGGTCCCACAATTGAACCCAGGTCCATCTAACTCTGGAGCCCATGATACTGCTTCCAGATTTGGCCTCTCAGACAAGAAGGAAATTGAAGCCCTTTGGGCACTGGCAGTGACAGCTGCACAGTATCCAAGCACAGGTGACCCAGTCGCTGGGTTCCTCCCCAGTCAGTTTGAGGAACCCCAGAAACCCAGTTTATGGTCTACCTCCTCAGTCCACTGTCTTAAATTGCTCTTAGGGTCCCCAGAGTCTCAGCCTGACCTCCCAACGCCTCAAGTTAAGAGGGGACGTTACCTTCCCTTCTGAGTTGGCAGTCCCTGCCCAGACATGGTGAAACCAAGCTGCAAGTTTCACTGGGAACAGGAACAGGGATGCCCTGGGAATCCACCCAAAAAGGTCTTCACAGCCTAGGATAAAGGGAAGCTAACCAAATACAGAATGGGCCCCGGAGAGCCCAATGGGAAGAAAACGGTTCCCTCTCACAGAGGGACAGGGAGCTGGCAGCCCTGAGGGAGTCTACTTCGTGCCCTGACTGAGTAGGAGCCCCTGTGAGCTGGATCAGACACAGTTCAAAGCTGTGCACAGGTTTATGACAATGTTTAAAACACCAAACTCAGATGTTTGTAAGAATTCAAACCAATACCCAAGAAGCACCAGCCACGCTAAGCCATCTTTCTATCTAGCAGTGAGTACTGAGTAGCTACAGTGTCCTCTGGTGGAACAGAACATTGTAGCAACACAGACCCCATGGAGCCCTATCACCTTCCCCTGACTTACCTCACCTGCCTGGCTCCTGGAGACACAAGTTTCCAGTCCTTCGGTTCAATTGAATCTTCTGCCTTCAGTTGGTGCCCTGTCCTAGCCAGGCTACTGGGGGGGCGGGGGGGGGGGGAGGGAGCCGCTGGGCGCTGGCTCTGAAGGAGATGACAAGCCCATGTGATGTTAGCAGGGCTGGAAGAAGTAGAATTTGGAAGGCATCAGGCAGAAACACGAGGGTCTGTCCCAGCTCCGTGTCTGTGAACAGCTGTGACCCAATTTGGCCAAGAATGCCCATTTATCTGCATGCACCCAGTTCCTAACCGACTGCCAAAGAAAAGGATCAAACCCTGCCTTCACATCAGGCCCAGCTTCTTACAACAAGGGCTGCCACAGACCAGGAGGCACTGGCCCTGCATCGGAAGAGACAAGAGATGAGGAGCAAAAGGAGAGGGAGGTGGGAAAATTAAATTTTGCGTGATCAGCAAGGTTTCAAACAATCGCTCGCCAGCTGAAGTGGGTGCCACATGTATAAGTCATTCTGTTTTATAGACCATTAGGGTCTCCAGAGAGAATCTGCATAGAGACCAGTGCTTTCTGTTGAAATTAAAATGTCAGAGAAAAAGAAATAGAACAAAACAGGGAATCTGCAATTAATTACCAGGCCATAAAAATTCAATAATCAGGAGGCAGAGCGGCCGCAGGCCCAGAGGTATCAGAGCCAGCGTAACAGGAATGGAAGGCATTAATCTTTTCAAATTAGTTTTTTAATCTGACTGGGATATATGGTGACATGGCTCCCTCCTTGCCCACTTCCCCCACCTCCACTGCTCCTGCCTGGAGCCAGGTTGGGGGAAGAAGGCTGTCGTGTGCACTGAGAACTTGCAGACCACCCGGATCCCCAGATATAGGACAGAGGGCTCCAGCTAAGGACAAGGACCCTGTGCCACACGCCTGCTGGGGTGGGGGGGAGGACTAGAGGGGACAAGGCTGTCTGTTCCCACTATGCGCGTCCCGGGGAGGTACCAATAAAGATGGTGGAAATTTAGGTGGGCAAGGCCGCTAGGCAGTGAGCTTGGAGACATGAGTTCAGGACTTTCCTTCTCTTGAAAATGGGAACAACACTGCTGCTTCAAGGGACGCTGGGTGTACAGCACCCAGGACCCAGTAGGTGCTAAGTAAAGGCTTCCAATTGTCATGTTTTAGCCACTGGCTGCTGTGTGGCCCTGCAAGCACACATTTAGTGATGGCTGTGTGCTCAGCCCTAAGTAACTTAGTTTTCTTCGGGCTTTACTTGGAGAATATGACCCAAACTCAGAGACATTTTCAGGACTGATGGATATTGAGAATCAATGAGAAGAAAGAGCTTGTCTAAAGGGCCTGTTCCAGGAGCAACTGAGATCCCACCATGCACCTAGAGAAAGTAGGTTCCTATCCTGTTTGACTATGCCCAGGGACAGACTCTGAGAAGACAAGAAGCCAACCTACCCTGATTGTGATTGGAAACCTGCCCTTACCTCCAAGCCCCAGGATCCTACCAGCATTGGCTCCAGCTGGCCAGGCCTAGGGTCTGTCACTGATCCTGCACCAGTCTGCCTGCCTTCAGAGGGTCTCCAGGCTTAGCCAGTGTTGTTAAGAAACAGACTCAGGGCAGCCACCTCTGGGGCCCTGTGGATTCCATCTCTTAAAGACAGCGCCAATAGCCTACTAGGCCTGTGTGTACAGCACACTGTGTGGGTGTTCTCAGCTGGAACTCCATCAGGTGTCATGTGCAGTGAGTGTTAGGAAATACAATGCTGCATTCTTGGTGGCCCAAGGCGAGATGCATCCCTGAAACATTACACTATGCAACTGATCTGGTATAAGGGGGGGGGGTATTGGGAAAAGGAGAGAGGAGGGAGGACCTGAGGAAGGGGGAGAGGCAGGCAAGTGGACATGTAAATGTGAGTAAGGCCAGGAGGGCACATAAAGGAGGGCAGAGAGGGAGAGGGGATGCTGAGAAGAGGAGGGAGGGGAAAGGAGGGAGAGAGAAAGGGAGAGAGCTAGAGTGGCAGGGAGTCCTTTTATCTGCAGCACACACCTGTCACACCTGGAGGGCGGGTCAAGTGACGCCTTAAGGAATTGCTAGGTTCCTGGGGGAGGTCAGCTGAGTCGCATGTTAGGAAGGTCTAGTGAGGATTTCACTGTAAAGAGGGATAGTAACTCTTGAGCTGCATACCGGTTGTACCTGTTCAGTTGTTTCCAAGCCATAAACTACCACCATCTTTTGCTTCCACCAGAGTTCAGCATATAGTAGGTATTCAGGAAATGTCTAGAGAGCACAGGTCTAGCAGATTGCCTTGCAAGGGGGAACTCAGCAACTGCCTGCCAAGATGTCACCGCTTCCAAATTACCCTCTCTAGCCATAACAGCAGGTACCACTATTGAGCAAGGAACCACTATTTTGCAAGGAACCTCACGCCTTTCGTAGTAAGACTGTAATCCCAAACAAGCTACTGACCCAGCATCCCAACCACTGAGGATACTCCGTGTATTGGAACCCAGGTGACTCCAAACCAGGTTTTTGGCTCCTTTAACTTGGGCACCTCTCCAGGAAGCATCCCCGAATCTCTTTGGGTTCCTCCATTCGCCACACTCATTTTACCTCCTCTCCCCATGCTCACAAGAGCCCCGGTGCAGGGATGACTCCACGGGCTGACGCAGTTCCGCATGCAGCCACCGGGTGGCGAGATGTTCTCAGCCTGACCTTGCAATACGGCCATGTGTCACCAGATGGTGCCCGAGGCCGCGGCTCTGAGGGCTGGGCCCGGACAAGGTGGAGCCCAGCCGGCTTACTGGTCCCAGTCCCATCCCCTCTACTCCAGCACACGTGACCTCCGCCGCCGCTAGCCCGCACCATGGCCCAGCCCGTGCCTCGGCTATCTATCCCCGCCGCGCTGGCCCTGGGCTCGGCCGCGCTGGGCGCCGCCTTCGCTACTGGTCTCTTGCTGGGTGAGCTGGGCTGGGCTGCAGCAGCCCCGGGAGTGGGAGGGCGCGGAGCAGAGCCGGAGAGCTCGGTCAGAACTGCAGGCCCTGACCCGGCACCCTCTCCCCGGCAGGGAAACGGTGGCCTCCGTGGGGATCCAGGCGGCGACAGCGCCTGCTGCCACCTGAGGACAATCCCCTGTGGAAGTATCTGCTGAGCCGCTCCATGAGGGAGCACCCAGCGCTGCGGAGCCTGCGACTGGTCAGTAGGACTGGGTCCGAGAACGGGCTCCCCGCTTCCAGCGTGGTGGATCTCACGTGGCTGTGTGACCTTGAGCTAGACAGAAACCCTCTCTGGGCTTCCGGGTTCCCTGTGACCCCTGTCCCCTCCAGACCACACCCGTCACCCAGCATATGAATTATTCAAAAGGAAGGGGGAGAATGGGGGGGCTGACTGGAATGAATGGCACCACCCTCTCCCTACACGCAGCTGACCCTGGAGCAGCCGCAGGGGGATTCCATGATGACCTGTGAACAGGCCCAGCTTCTAGCCAACCTGGCGCGGCTCATCAAGGCCAAGAAAGCTCTGGATCTGGGTAGGAACACATGTTCTCTGGAAACCGGGGACACTGGGCCGTCCCGCAGCCTGTGCTGAGCTTGCGGGTGTCCCGGTCCACAGGTACTTTCACGGGCTACTCGGCCCTGGCCCTAGCTTTGGCGCTCCCCGAGGCTGGCCGCGTGGTGACCTGCGAGGTGGACGCAGAGCCTCCGAAGCTGGGACGGCCCCTGTGGAAGCAGGTGAGAGCCCCACACCTGCGGCCGTTCGGGCTCCGGCTCGGGGGCGTGCCGGCCTGACCGGCCTCCTTCCGCAGGCAGAAGTGGAGCAGAAGATCGACCTACGGCTGCAACCCGCCCTGCAGACTTTGGGTGAGCATCGGCGCGGGAGGGGCCCAGCCAGCACTGTCTAACCCCGGGAAACAAAACTGGCGACCCTGAGCGGCCCGCTGACACCGGAGCTCAGCTGCACCTGCCCTCTGTCCCCATAAGATGAGCTCCTGGCAGCAGGCGAGGCTGGAACCTTCGACATAGCGGTGGTGGACGCCGACAAGGAGAACTGTGCCGCCTACTACGAGCGCTGTCTGCAGCTCCTACGCCCGGGAGGTGTGCTCGCCGTGCTCAGAGTAAGGACTAAGGCAAAGCTTCTTCACGTGGCTGGGTCCACAGGCTGGTCTCAGCTCTCTCCCAGCCCCGTCCCAACACACACACCCCCGCCCTAGTATCATAGGCCCCGCCCTTCCCAGCTAAAGTCCTGGGTTGGCTATCCCCCCACTTCCGATGGCCCCACCCTTCCATCTGTAGGTCCTGTGGGGCGGAGAGGTGCTGCAGCCCCAGCCCAGGAGTAAGACCGTTGAATGTGTGCGGAACCTAAATGAGCGCATCCTGAGGGACGCCAGGGTCTACATCAGCCTCCTGCCCCTGGATGACGGACTCTCCTTGGCCTTTAAGATCTAGGGTTAACACCAAACTTTGGGCTTGGGTGTGAGAACCTAAGAACCCAATCCAGTGACCCAACTTTTAAACCTGACAATAAAGGTACTGGAACACACATCTTCTGATCATTCATTTCCAGAGTTCATTTGGTGAAGAGTTCTCTCCCTGCAGGAACACAGGCAGCTTTTTCAGTAAAGTGGTCTCCCTGGCACCAAAGCTTGTGGCCCTATCTGACTGGGTAGTTTTAATAAATTGTCCCAGCTGTACACAGTGTATAGAGTTCCAATAGGCTCCGACCCTCCCAGCCACATGCCAGAGACCACACCTTGTCGAGATAGGGGCTCTTAAGAGACCAACCTAGTCACTGGTACTTCTATAGCTAAGTCAGGTCTGTTGGCAGTCTACCCACATTTCCACAGGGATGTTGCCTCCCCAGCCTCACCTGTGTGCAGTATAAGCCATGACAGTGGCCATTACCCAAGAAACAACCCTCTTGGCCCAGACCAGAGAAACTAAGTTTGGCTGGTATTTCTATCTGCTCCCTCACCCCATTAAGTCCTAAGGGAGGAAACCTCATTCAAGAAACCTCAAGAACTTGAAGCTTTTCCAGCATTGTCCTTTTGGGGGACACTTAAGGAGCCAAAGACCTGGAGCCTGGTGCTTTGCTGCTCTGGAAGAAGGCTAAAGTTCTTTGTACTGAGGCATAAAGGACAGTTTCTGGGACACCACAGGTTTGCCACCCAGAGGTAAGACCCAAGTAAAGCACACCTAGCAGCTGCTCCAAGTACAGCTCCATGAGGCCACAACTGAGTTGGTCCAAGCCCCATGGGCCCTGCCACACATCACTAACCCTCTGGGAACTAGCTGTGCCCTACCCCTTCTTCACAAGTCAGTACATACCGAACTGCACACAGGGGACCTGGTCCGATCCATTTTGAGAAATACTTTTGATACACTGGTAACCCACATGTGTACACTAGCCCAGGGCAGAGCCAGCATCAAGTGCACTTGTTAGCTGAGCAGTACTAGGCCACAGAGGGCCATAGGGCAGTGACATCTGCCATTTCTATTGGGTTAATTCCCAAAGTATCCATTTTCTTAGCTGTCCCCACAAGTTTACAGCTAAACCTCAGAAGTGAGGCTCATCGCTCCTCTTTGACTCCCCTCTCACCTGTGACATACCTCCTCCCCCTGGGGAGCTTGCACTGTCCTACTTTTCCAACCAGAACCACTAGGTAATGCAGATCACCCACGTGATGGCTAAAGGGGCTTAGCTTTTCAGCATCTGTCTGTAGAAAAGAACTGGTGCCCATTTCCTCCTCTCGGCCTGCTGCTGCCATGTTCTGTAGCCTAGCTCAGAAGGAAGGGCATGCTTGCCTATTTAACCACTCGGCACCACCACTGCATTTCCCTTCATCATCCATGGGTTAGCAGTGATTCACTGTAACTTTGCACAAACTTAGAAACTGCAGAGTATTAAAGTATGTATCCTTGTATTTTATTGTAGTCTCAAAGACCTCGTGGATTATGCTAGGGACACAGGGAATTTGGTTGCACAGGTTTAGGTAAAGAACAAAATGCTCACAAGAAAAAAGTATTTACCAAGAAGATTAGACCCTAGGCTGGCAATCTGTAACTGCACATACGTGAGCCATTAGTTATGTACACTTGTTTTATTCATAATTTGTCATGTTTGGGATTACCAAAGTAATTCTACTGATGGGTGAATATAACAAAAAAAATCTTTTACCTCATCTTAAAACATCCACTGATCCATCTCATTCAGTACAACAGTCACTGTTAAAGGAACATAAAACAAACATGCACACCATGGCACGGTTTTCATAAACATCTATTTCATCATTGGTGGGTAGCACATTTAACAGTTAAATACATTTAAATAATGTATAGGAGGCTGCACGACAGCAGCACTGATAACTAGATAACCATCCAACTAGGAACCAGCCAACGGGTGACTGTCTAAATATTTAAAATACAGCTCTTGCTTAATCATCCTTTGATGTGATCACCTTCTGGGGGGAAGGGGAGCCTGCTGGTTGCATGGAAATATATTAAGGCCAAATCTTCTGATATCCGTTCCCAGAGGTTTCTTTTAACTGGATTAAGCTTCCAGTTCCAAGGCAAGCCCAAGTTTGTGGCCTCCAGCATTAAAGCTCTTCCCGTCTACCAGAGCGGACAGTGTCAGCTTCACACCTGTAAACAAAGCAAACCACCATGACGGGCCTGAAAGCGCGCAGCCCTGCCAGGCCCTTCCTCAGCACCCAGAGAGCATTAGGATGAACACTGATGCTAAAACCTCTGATGGTATATGTAATCTGAGGGCACAGAAAGGTTAGTAATAAACAAGTTCAAAATGGCCTAAAATTCATTTTCACTGGACTAAATAATACTGGAGACCAGATCACAACTGAACTCTAAAGAAGAGGCGCCTGGGGACCAGTGGGAAACCACACAGTAGGTAAGTCAGTCCTCATCTGAAATTAGTATACCAGGAACTTGCCCCTTCAGTGTTCACTGTCACTCTTCTTTACGTTTTAAGTCTAAATAAAAATTAGGTGGGGGAAGCAGGTGCCCCATTAGAAATACAAACTTCTCCATCTCAGACCTACTGGATGGGAATCTGCACAAGACCCAGGCCACTCCCAAGTCTGGAATTGCTCTGGTATCCATTACCTGAAGGGAACTGCAGAGACTTTTGACCTGAGACAATATTTAGACACCAGTGAGGAACTACATGATGGTTAAATGTTGAGGAGTGAGGTTTTTTAGAGTGAGGGCAGCCATGCTTATTCAGAGCAGGCCACTCCCTATAAGGAGTAAGGGGGAGGGGCGGGTGTGAGAAACTCTGAGGCTTGAAAGGGTCACAAAATAATAAACTAAAACTGTAATCTTGAAAATAATGTACAAATGGCGATATGGCTCTGCAGTTAAGAGAACTGGGTGCTCTTCCAGAGGTCCTGAGTTCAATTCCCAGCACCCACCCATCTCTATCTGTAATCCCATGGGATCAGATGCCCTCTTTCCATGTGCAGATGTACAAGCACACAAAACATACATACACTTAAATAAATGAATCTTTTTAAAGGGAGGGGAGGCTGTAAAACAATCCTTTATCAAAGATACTTACCAGGCCTCAGAGTCTGAGTATAGCCCACTCCAATTAAACTAGAGTTGTTGACCTTTGCCTAGAAAGAGAGAAAGACATTTCTGAAGGGAGACAAAGTTCTTGGGTAGCCCCATCATGGAGCTATCAAGCCTGTGCCTTTAAGTCAATGAGATACTAAAGTTTAGTATCATGTATTAAGTAAACACCAAGTGCCACTTAAATGTTAGACATGATCTTAAAATCAAACTGTCAGCAGAGCTCAGTAACATTCTTTACACACCTTAGGATGTGTATACAGACCCCTACATGATCCACACAGCACACACACACACACACACACACACACACAAAAAACACACTCAAAAAAGCTCACCCTTGTGAAACTCACAAAAACACATAAATATGTAGCTGATGGCACCTAGGCACCTATCAGACTCACTAAAGGTGAGAGCCACCTTTGAAATGCACAGTGAGGAGTTTATAAGCTCATGGCTTAGATCCACACATGAGACTACTTCCTCACTCTTCCCTCTAAGCTGCTGTAACTAGTTGGGGCCTGATGAGGAGCATGGTTTATCAATTCCTTATGTACTTTGACAATTTAAGATTTAGGTCACAGACCTTCAAGAGCTGAGAGGAATGCTGGAGAGCAAATATGTTAAGCAGCATATGGGGAATTGGTTCCAATGCTTTGTCTTATTTCGGCTCCCAAAAGCCGTGCTTCCAGACCTGAGGGTTCCTGCTCCCAGCTGCCTTCAACTGATAATAAAGAATTGCCATACAGCCAATGGCTGGGCAAGGAGACGAGCAGGATGTTTTAGACTTCGAGAGCAAGGGACCGAGGGGAAGAGAAGAGAATCACCATGACTCAGAGGGAAAGGAATGAGATTTAAGAGCCGCAGAAGAAAAGTCCTCCAGCAATTTAAGTGGAATGGGAAAGCAGCCCTATGGGGGTTGGCAGAGGGCTGCCCAGAAGGTAACAGGACAGCAAAGATAAAACATAGATTCAGAAGGTGTTATGCCAGGAATACCAGAGGGAAATGTGTGCTAGCCACAGGAAGGTTTAGATACGCCCAGCCATTGAGCTAGTCAAGGCATATCAAAATTTGTTGGTGTGTCTTTCACTCTTGAATCCAAAGAGCAGGTGCAAAAGGCAGGTGCAGCAGGCAGGTGCAGCATGTATGCATGACCCGCATACCTTCCAGCACCAGTCCTCCACTACCTTGGCTAACATCTTCACTAAGCCACCTACCCGTTAACAGAGGTATCCACACTCTTTACATTGTACCCTGACATCTTTACCTACAAATGAGGTAGGCCATTTATAGCTATATAAGACACAACATAGCCTGCAAGCCACAAGATGGATAAATATGCCTGGGGGAAGTGGGGGTGGCGGCACATTCCCCTCAATTCCAGAGCTCTTTGGCATCCTGGGGCTACAGGTATAAATAGAACAGCATGCTGTGAGACCAGATATGCAATGATTCAGTGGCTCTATTCTTGTTATATGTAAGGTAACACAAGATAAGCCAATGCTTCTAGGCGCTACTCTACTGGGACATCAGCAGCTCTACTTGGGTAGGAATGCTGTATTTGTTTCTATAATGACTGTGAGCTGAAAGGTGTTTCTGCTGGCTGACATACCATCTGTCATGGTGCCACAAGCAAACAAACATCTGTCGAAAACACAATGTAAAAGAGACCAGTGTGCTGGCAAGAGTGCTTCACCTAGTGCAGCCAGTCACAGATGCACCACTGGCTGGTCAAAGGGAAAAGCATTCTGGGTACTTTTTACACTATCTCTGATTATAAATCTTTAAACATAGAGAAAAAGATAGGGCTAAAACATTAACAGCTTAAGGTTTCAAAGCACAGGGCAGGAGAGAAGGCTCAGTGGCTAAGAGCACTGGCTACTCTTCCAAAGGTCCTGAGTTCAATTCCCAGCACCCACATGGTGGCTCACAACCATCTGTAATGGGATCTGATG